CTTTCTCCATCCAGGTTCCAGGGAACTGGCCCATGAGGAATCACCCATACCTAGATGGCAAGGACGCATTTGTGATTAGGCAATGTCACAGGAAAAAAAATAACAACCCAAAGTGAGTTTGGGGATGTAAGACAAAATCAATAAAAAACATGGTAAGGTCTGAAGTCAACCTCCTTCAGCACCTGTCAGTGTCCATGTTTAAGCTCTCCATGTGTCACACTGGCCGAGGTGGCTCTTTAAGTAAAATATGCTATTCCTTACTGATGCTTGACAAGAAAGTTTACCAGGAAGAGCAATATAAATGACACAGGAATGACAGATTCTCCCATGATGTGAGAGGCACATGTGACAGTTTCATCATGGAAATGTGGCTTTGTCAAACCTCAGGTGCTGATGTAGTCCCAAGAGAGCCTCACAGCTGTGTCCAGAGCTTCTCCAGGGGTCTTTTCAATAGTTCTGGCCTTCTCTTTTATTGAATTCTCTAAAAGACATGAGTGGGGCTCACGCACTTTGAAGACACTGTCTCAGGAGTCATTTTCCAGGGTTCCATCGTAGCTGTGCTATCTATCTATCCATCTTCCAGGAAGAAGCCATGGTGTCCTGAGGCCCACATGGCAAGCTCTGTCCATAAGGTCTGAAGTCAACCTCCTTCAGCACCTGTCAGTGTCCATGTTTAAGCTCTCCATGTGTCACACTGGCCGAGGTGGCTCTTTAAGTAAAATATGCTATTCCTTACTGATGCTTGACAAGAAAGTTTACCAGGAAGAGCAATATAAATGACACAGGAATGACAGATTCTCCCATGATGTGAGAGCACATGTGACAGTTTCATCATGGAAATGTGGCTTTGTCAAACCTCAGGTGCTGATGTAGTCCCAAGAGAGCCTCACAGCTGTGTCCAGAGCTTCTCCAGGGGTCTTTTCAATAGTTCTGGCCTTCTCTTTTATTGAATTCTCTAAAAGACATGAGTGGGGCTCACGCACTTTGAAGACACTGTCTCAGGAGTCATTTTCCAGGGTTCCACTGGTAGCTGTGCTATCTATCTATCCATCTTCCAGGCAAGAAGCCATGGTGTCCTGAGGCCCCACATGGCAAGCTCTGTCCATACCAAGCCCTGCTCCCCACACCCCACCTGGTTCCTGGGGACCCCTCTGGTCCACCTCAGGCCCCCAGCCTGCCCAACCCAACCTCTGGTTCCCCAAGACACGGCAACCAAAACTCAGCATCCAGGACAGCCAGCTTGGGCCACTGGGTACTCACCCGGGGCCCGGCATCTGTCTTTGCTTCCCCAGGTCAGTTGCAGGGGATGGGCTGAGTCCACACACACAGGGAAGCTGATGCATGTCACACTGTGAGTGGCCTCAGGGAGGCTACGGAGCCACTGGTGGAGAACAGCCCCATGGGGCTGTTGTAAGGCCACGTGTGTTATAGAGATAACTGTTTAGATGTGGAAACTGAGGCCTAGGGAGTACAAGCAACTGGCCAGGCAGGTATCCTTGTTGGTGCAGAGTGCACCACACCCTCACTGCCCTGGTCTGTGAGAGGTGGAGAAGCTGGGCCAGACTTGGCTCTGCCTCATCAGCTGGGGCCTGGCCAGCCCTGGATCTCCGTGGCTCCTCTGCCATCTTAGATAGATATTGGTCAGCATCCAGCACAGGACAGGAGCACTTGATGGCGGAGACAGCAGGTTTCTCTGCCTCCCACGTGGGGCAGCCGGAGAAGCAGCCCAGCCAGCAGAATCTGGGAAGGGCGGTAGAGATGACCCTCGACCACCTCTGAGCCGGGCAGTGGGTGCGATCTCCCCAAGAGCCAGCAGGTGGCAGCACAGCACTGCAAACACTGCCTCTCCTGCAGCATGATAATGTGGTTGGTGATCCAGTACTGGCCTCAGCAGGTGCCTTTCATTGCTGTGGTTTGCTGTGTTCCCGCCCCTGCCCCTGCCCACTCCTGCCCCCAGCTCTTCTGAACTGGTAAGTGCTAGTGAAAGTTCTTGATTAATTGGCCCAGAGTTCAAATCCTGCCTGGAGAATTTAGGCATCCCAAAGCCCAGGCCCACCCAGACCCAGGACACCTGAACCTCCAACTTTGACCCAGTCTCCCCAGCAGTGCCAACAAACAACCATGGCCAGAACTGGGCTCTGGAGAGGCTTTTAAAGCCCACCTCACCCATGCTTGTGGTATTGAATCGTGTGTATTCTGCTGACCCCTACCTTAACGTTTCCAGGTCCTCACCAATGCCTGCTGGGTATCTCCCCAGCCCTCCAAACCCTCACACTCAGCATGTCCACAATACACTGCCCTACCCTTCCCACAGGCTGAGTGTATCCCACGCTGGGCACACGCACTGGTCTCCAGGAAGCTGGTAGAATTGTTGCCTCTCCCTGTGTGCCCTGCACACTGCAGCGAGGACCCGGCAGCTCTGCAAGACTGAACAGAGAAGGAAGCACCTCAGCCTCTGACTGCATGGGCAGTGATGGCCAGAGTGGGCTTTGGAAACACTTCCTGGAATGACTCCCTGAAGGTCAAGTGTCCTGCTCTCCCAAGAAGATAAACCCCCACCGCAACTTCAGTGGCCATGGGGCCTCCTGCCCCTCTGTCCCAGGTTCCTGCTGCCCCCTGGGGTGCCCAGCCTCTTTTGGCTGCTTGTAGTGCTCCCCACCCAGCTGCTGGGCTTGCTCAGCCCTCCCACTGCAGTCACAGTCACAGGCCCAAATGCTTCAGCCTCCCTGCCACGTCGGAGACTCCACCAGCTCCCACTTGTGCCTGGCTCTTGGAAAGTGTTTTAGAAACACCCCTCGTCCTGAAGGGTGACGCCCACTGTCCACACTGTCCACGGCACAGCCAGCCAGATGGTGAACCTGCCTTGAGGCACAAGTGGGCCCCGTGGCTCTTCTCTGACTATTTTCTTTCCAGGCCCAGAGCAAGGCCTGAAGTCCCCATGACTGCCTACCCACGTTTGTGTCGGTCTTCTCTCATACTCGTACCATCACGGAACACTGGGAGAGGCTGGTTATCACTGGGTTTCCAGAATCTTCCAGAGAGCACATGGCTCTCCCCAGTTAATTCCACAAATGTGCATCTGGCACCTGTGCCCCCTCCTAGAGCATTTAACAATTGGATTATTTCCTCTTCCTGATAGGACTGGGAGAACAGAGCTTAAGTGACTTTGTCAAGGTCACACAACAGGACCTTCTCATGTAGGAAACCAGCTGACTCCATTTCTCATGAATCAAGGAGCAGCCATCCCTCATCAACAACAATGAATCTTCTGGTAGGTTCCCTCCTGGCAAAAGTTTGGGGTGTGGCCTTTAACTCTGTGGGTTAAAGGATTGAAAATGTGGGAAATGAAACTGACAGGCTTCCCATCCAATATAGCTGGATCTGAGAGGGCTCTGGGAAAACCCCTCTGAGCCCCTGTGCATCCTCAACATTTGAGTTTTAGTTAGCAAACATGGGGGGAGGTCAGCCAGTGGGGCGCCACACTTTCACCCAGCTCCTCATATCCTCTTGAAAGCAGGCGCCCGGTGCTCAACCTTCAGCCCTTGCCTCCCTGGGGATGAACCACTTCTGGGGGTTTTCAATTCCCAATAGAAACTTACTTACTCTGCCCCTGAAGAACCTCAGATTGGCTGGGCATTCCTCCCAGCTCCACTCCTCAGAGGCCAAGACTTCTGGCTCTGAGGACCCTCACTCTGAGGGAAGTTGTGTCCACATATAGCCCCCACACACGTTCCTGAGTGGTGGGACAGTCTTAGAACTGGACTTCAATCAACTGCCACACCCACAGGTGTCCAGACAGCACCCTTGGTCTGATGCCACCTGCAGTGCCTGGGAAGAGTCTGTGATGGGGACTCAGGCCAGGAAGAGGTGACCCCTGCTCTCTAGCCTCTCACCAACTCCAAGAATGACAGAATGACAAGCAGGAGCCCAGGTGCCTCTTCTGCCCCCTCTGTCTGCTCTCTGGATGCCACCACCAATTTCTTTGATCAGCAAACAGAAAATTCTTCTCTGTGCAGGACAAGATGTAGAAAACCCTTTTACCTGAAATACCGAGTCACTGAAACAGGCTTATCCTAAAACTCTTATCCCTGCACGAAATCACTACTTTTTTTTTTTTTTTTTTTTTGCAGTACTGGGGTTTGATTCAGGGTCTCACGCTTGCTAGGCAGGCGTTCTACCATTTGAACCACTCAGTCAACCTTTTTACGTGTTGGGTATTTTCGAGATAGGATCGTATGAACTATTTGCCTGAATTGGCTTCCAACCGAGGTCCTCCTCATCTCTGCCTCCCGAGTAGCTAGGATTACAGGCTGAAGCCACGGATGCCGGGCTAGGAATCACTACTTGACTCTGGGAGACATGGGAACCACGCCAGGACGCACTGTCCTGGGGTGGAGCATAAGACCAGGACAGGGCAGCCCGCCCGCAGGATGCTAATCACCTAGAGCCGGGAGCTGGCAGCACCGACGGACGCGCCGCGCCTACCCGACACTGCGCATCAGAGACCAGACGGAGGGCTCTTCCTGCAGGAGCGGCGTTTGCGGTGGTGCTGACCGCTGACCGCTGACCGCTACCGCTCTGGCCCCGGCGGCTACAGCGGATAGAGACAGGGAACAAGGCCGATTGAGGCAGACGCCTCAGTTTGGGGGCGGCGACCCCAGCGGAAGCAGGAGGCGAAGGTCGGCGTGCGCTCAGAGCAGATAAAACGCTCTGGGGTCCCGCAGTCCCCAGCCTGGGTCTGTCAGTCTGCGCCGCGGATGAGCCGGGCTGGGGAAGAGGCGGTCATCAGGTCCCCTCTGATTGGACGGCGCAAAGCCCCAGCGGGCGCTCGGCGGCTTAAAGCCGAAGCCTGGGCGAGGGGGAGCCAGAGCCCGCCCCCGGGCCGGCCCCGCGCGCGCGGCGAGGAGGTGAGGACGGAGAGGGAGAGGAGGCGGAAGCGCAGGACAGACAGACGGGCACGCGGGCTCGCAGGGCCGGAGCCTTGAGGCTGCAGGCGGGCCATGGCTGAGCTCAAGTCGCTGTCGGGGGACGCGTACCTGGCGCTGAGCCACAGCTACGCCGCGGCAGCGGGCCTCGCTTACGGGGCTGCACGGGGACCCGAGGCGGCCCGCGGCTACGGCGCGCAGGGTCCCGGCGGCGACCTCCCCGCGGCGCCTGCGCCCCGCGCCCCCGCCGCGGCGGCCGAGAGCAGCGGCGAGCAGAGCGGCGACGAGGACGACGCCTTCGAGCAGCGGCGGCGACGGCGCGGACCGGGGGGCGCAGCGGACGCGCGGCGGCGGCCCCGGGAGCAGCGCTCGCTGAGGCTCAGCATCAACGCCCGGGAGCGGCGGCGCATGCACGACCTGAACGACGCGCTGGACGGGCTGCGCGCCGTCATCCCCTATGCGCACAGCCCGTCCGTGCGCAAGCTCTCCAAGATCGCCACGCTGCTGCTGGCCAAGAACTACATCCTCATGCAGGCGCAGGCCCTGGACGAGATGCGGCGCCTGGTGGCCTACCTCAACCAAGGCCAGGGCCTGGCCGCGCCCGTGGCCGCCACGCCTCTGGCGCCCTTCGGCCAAGCCGCCGTGTACCCCTTCTCCGCGGGCGCGGCCCTCGGGCCCTGCCCTGACAAGTGCGCCGCCTTCTCCGGATCACCGTCGGCGCTTTGCAAACACTGTAACGAGAAGCCGTGACGGCTGCGCCGCGCTTCCGCACGCGTCCTCCTATTTACGTTGCCCCGGTGACTGTCACTCTGCCCGCACTGGAGACGCCTGGCGGGATCCCACAGGGAGAAGGCGGCCTGACCTCGCTTCCAGCCCATGCGCGTTGAACAGTTTGGGGCGCCGGAAGCGCGAAGCCAGTCTGAGCACTGGACCCCGCAGCGCCCAGTGCGCACTCCCCCAACCTCCCCTGGACGTTGCCAGGGTTGTCTAGTCTAGGAACGCGGATGACGGGTAACCAACCGTGCTTCCTTCGGACACCTCTGCTCACCTCCCCAAAGAAGGCTACGGCGGGGTCCCAGGGCGGTGGCGCGGGCGGGTACTGGTTCCACTCCGGACACGCGGTCCTGCTAGGGCGCAGACACACAGCGTCACCCGGCTTGGCGAGGTCCTGGCGTTGGGTCTCATCCTCGTCCGCAGTCGGCTGGTCTAGGCCAAACTGCAGGGCCACACCCCGACTGGACGTGTTCTTGAGGACGCGCGCAGCTCAGCACCTCCAGCCTCTGCTGGCTCCAAGACTCCAGGCCCCGAAAGCAAGCGAGACCCCGCAATGCTGTTTATAAAGGAGCTAGCAGCGGCGCAGGAAGACCCCGGGCAAACTCAAGTGTGAGTTTGTTCTCTTTATTTTCTTGACAGCCTAGAGGCGCAGGAAGCCATTCTCGGCGGCTTCGAAGTCTGAGGATACACCCCTAAATATCTCTGGACCCTTAGCCGCCTCCTCCTGCCGGCTGGGATGGAGACTGCCTCATGTGCCCTCCACCTAAGGGGGCTGCGTGGAGTATGCGTTCTCACAACCCGCATCCCCACTTGACCCTGGAGGGTTGGAGGGTCAGCGGAGGACCTCAGGCTAGCTCCAGGACCAACAAAACCCTTCCTCACCAATTCCTGCACGTTTCCGAGGGAGGAGGCCGGGCTACGGGTGAGTACGCCGCGCCCGGATCCACTTGAAAGGTGATGGGGTCTGTCTCTGTCAAAGTCGGTGCACTGCTCAGAATTCCGCCGCCATCCCTGGTCGGTGGGGGGTTTGCGCCCCAGGGCCCTCCGCAGTTTCCAGCTTTCTCAATCCAATTTTCTTGGCCGCCTTTAAGGTGCTAATGAGAGGGTCACCGCCCTGCAAATCGCCAGTCTACAGCGGTTTAATACATTTCAAAAGGCCTTTTTGTATCTGCAAAATGTAGTGTGTGATTAAGTCTTACTCATAAAGACATATGCTTAATACTGGTTTCTGCTACTTTCATTTTTATTTCTTCATTCTCTCTTTTTTTTAACCCCTAACAGACTAGCATATCAGTTTTGCACATTCAAAAAGCTGAATGTTGGAGACTGTTTTTCAAATTCCTTTTGGATAAATCAGGGCAGGAGAATTGGAAAGTCACCTGTCATTTACTCCTGGGGTCATTTCAAAGCCATCAACTTTATAAATTACTAGCCAATCATAATTTGAAAGAGTCCTGTATTTCTGTTAAGATCAGAGATGTGTGATACATCATGATATGCAGAATAAAGTATTTGATTTCAACTTATTTTACAAAAATAGTATGATTAAATTTTAATATCAAAGTAAATAGTGTCCATCTGTGACTTAATTCATAATTTCAGTTTTCAGACAATTGTGTCAACTTGGGCCACCTGCTTCTAGGGTCTAAAACGTCATATGATGAAATTGCTTCTCGAGCTGCCACTCACAGCAAATATGTGACATTATAAGAAAACCCTCTTAGGTGGAAAACAATTTATTAATCAAAAAATCCTCCCAATTACTTAGCTTAGAATAAAGTTCAAATTAAATTTAGTCTTTTTAAAAAATAGCCAAGGCTTTTACCTTCTGTTCTGTAAAATTTCCACGAGCCTTTCTCTGGGGTTGAATGAGTGTGTGCAGTTTTTCCGAGGGAAAACAGGCAATCCAGTCTATCAGAATAAATATCACAGGTTTTCACAGCAAACTTCTCATTCTAAGCCTCTCTCCTTCAAAGCTTGTGTGTGCCATCACAACCAAGTCTAGCCAGCAAAGGGGGCCTGTTGCAAGCCTGCAGCTCTTTGGAAGCAGCGGAGGTGAGGCTGTGGTTGTCTTTACTCCTGAGGGTCGTGCAATTCCGTCCCCATGTGGGGGTTTGCTGAGGCTTACCAGGAACGAACTTCACCACCCTGCAGGTGAACCCCAAAGGCAAGCGAGCATTTCTCAAGGTTGGCAGAGAAATTAAATCAGGAAGAGCTTCATTTATATCTCGGATTTGGACACCCTTCTCTTTAGGTTCTTCTAACATAAAGGAAGGAGGTGCAGCTGGGGTGCAGGGCCTGGCTGTGTCCCCAGACCTGAGATGTTCCCAACAGTCCTTTCAATCAGCATGTCCCGAACGGAGAGAATGTGGGAGTGTATGAAGTTTACGTCTTCTAGTGGTCACCTAAAAACAGTGAGCAGAAACAGCTGAATTGTCTCGACAGCTTTTCTGTATCCCAGCATATCCAAAATATCATCTCCACATGGGTCAATATTTTAAAATAAGCTCTTTTACTTTGGGTAGTACTAAATCTTCAAATTGCAGTCTTGCACAGAGAGCCCCCTCTGCTTAGACCAGCCATGTTTCCAGTGCTCAGTGGCCACGTGTGGCCCTATGAACGATGACAGACGGAACGGCTCCCAGGTGCTTATGTGCAGAGCACCCAAGGTGCCCTTTGCCTCCTCTCTATTTGCTAGGAAATGTCCACAGATGCAGGGAATTAATTCTAGAGCCAGACAAATGGGTAGCGTCCTGTATTTATTTCAGTTCCAATCCTGACTCACTGAATCTTCCTCTAAAGTGCAGCTGGCCCTGGGGCATGTGGCAAAAAGCCAAGAGAGATGGTGGCCAGATAACCAGAATCTTTGGTTCGCATGCCCTTCAGCCTTAAGTTGACCAGACACACCAAATCTGGGTGCTGCAGGTTGAAAGGTGGACCCCACTACCACACCCAAGACACACAGCTCAGTGACAGCCTTGGGTCCTCCTCATGGAGCTTTCTTCCCCTGCTGACCACACAAGCAAAGGCTACTGCTTGAACAACTCACAAACCAAGACATGGAAAAACTGAGGTCAGGAACCCTGGCCCGGCCTCTCTCGGAGAAGGAATTCCTTGGTGAAGTCAGCTTGTGGAGGTTCACTGGCTTCCGCTTCCTAGGAGCCCTTGCCTGCATCAGGAGAGGCAAGTTGTCCATCCAGGTCCTGCACAGTCTTCATTTGCTGACTGCTGTGACCATGCCTGGACACCTGCTGCCAGCCTGCCTGCTCACCTCAGGGTACTCTCTATCTTGCTGGTCAGAAACAGAGTTCCACACCAGACAGGAAACAAAAGTTAGGCTTCACATGCCTCCTCTTTTCTCCTTCCATAAAAACAGCCATACTGTAGATGGACCTGTTTTTTTAGGTTCTTTTTCCCCCTGGTGGGACTGGGGTATGAACTCAGGACTTCACACTTGCAAAGCAGGTGCTGTACCGTGAGAGCCTCACCTCTAGTCCATTTTGCTCTGGTTATTTTGAAGATAGGGTCTTGCAAAATACTTGCCTCAACTGGTCTCACACCACATCCTGCTGATCTCAGCCTCCAAAGTAGCTAGGATTACAGGTGTGAGCCACAGGCACCTGGCTTCTCTTCTTAAATTTTTATATCTTTGATTGGTGTAACTGAAACAAGGTGGCCCCTCAATCTGCAGTCTCCCCTACACACAACTAAACAGTTTGATGAGGGTTTTCTCATCTACTGGGACTCCTGGCGTGTTCCACCCGACAGTGCACAAGGTACTTCACACCCAAAGGTCCGTATTTCCCCCCAGTGTAGAAATGCACTCACCTAAAACACATCCCAGGTTTGCAGACCCAGGTAGTAGGAATCAAACTCTAAGGCCAGAGCCTAAAGCCCACTCCAACAACAAGGGCCTGTTGCCAGCATCCCCTCTCCCTTCCACCTAGGCTGGCTTCCAGCTGTTTCATTCTGTTTTTAATTTCATCCCAAAAATGAGAGTTTACCTCTCACTTATGCAGACGTTATCAGAATCATTGGAGAACCTGTTTACTTCTGATTAAAGAGTACCCGGCACAGACTCAGCTTTGCCAAATGTGCCTGTCTGCTGCCCTTGCAGGCTGGGAATGCTAACAAGAGAGACAAATACTGTTTTCCTAAAAGGGTGCAGGAAATGTACAAAGCATCAGGCCAGCCTGAAGCCACCCTGAAGCCACCCTGGCTGCACCGTGTGCTGAAGGAAAGGACTCCGAGTGGAAGCACCAGGCAGCCAGAGGCTCCTAAGCCCTGGTTAATCCCGCAGAGAATGATTACAGCAATTTTATAATGTACATTTGTTTGTGATCTGTTTTTAGTCTTTATTCGCTTTTGGCATCCCATTTGGAAGACCGGAGACAGAGGGATTTGCGACGTATTAATTCATTTCTCCAACAATTGCCTCTTGGACTTGTAACCCTGGCTGCTGTGTTCCACTACCCTGATGAAAGTCTGTTCTGTAAAATTAGAAAGTTAATACACACCTGCAAATTTAGCCCAAAGGAGAGCACCCCATGTTACCATGAGTGCAGAAAGTTCAAATAATTAGCAAACTGACCTTTAAAGCCCGTGTTTTCCCTAGGGTAAAAGTGATTTATGCCAATTCTTTTCCAGTCGGAACTACACAGAGGGGTATTTACTCAGATAACACAGAAATGCTGGTTTTGAGCGGTCGTCTGAGTGGGATGGCGATCGGAAATATTCTTGAAGCTAATGAAAAAGAGGACAGCGCCCCTCGTGTGGACGAGGGTCTCTGAACAGAACGGTCTTGCCCTGCATCACCATTCTCCTTGCTTCTATCCCTGGCCATACCAAAGGGCCAGTTCCATGGCTCAGGCAGCCACAGTCTGTACTGCAGCCTCACAATGCCGTGCTGAGCTGTGCTGTGTGGGCCTGCAGGTAACCTCTGCCCTCCCGTAGCACTCAGGCCACCGGGCAAGGAT